ATCCATTCAGGCCTCTTGTTTTCAATATCACTGTGATTTTATATCATTAGAGCTGGCAGATAAATTACTGCAGTCATTCTTTGAACCTCTACTACTGATGTGCACTATCCCTAACTGTGAAAGTGGAGGCACCTATATTTGTGCCAAGCAGTAGCTGTTTTCAGAGCTCTGACAAGAGAGTGGCGAGAACATAATTCAGACATTGGTTCATAATTGCTTCAGCTACCAGGGATGATAGCTACTATCTGCATTCACAATGTGACTCTCCAGGTTCCTACCTGGCTATTAATTACATGCGGGAATCCATATATCTTTCATAAGAGTACTTCCTCAAGTTATAGACTATATGAAGGTCATAGAACTCCAGTGAATATTGGTGTAAAGCAGATAGTATTTTACAGCCCCAAGAGATTTTCAAAGATGTGGTAAGTTACAATGAAATCCGATCTTCAAGTAGTCCATTTATTACATTCACTATGATGTCGAGATCTCTGTTGTTTTGTGTTAAGAAAGTAGAGGACACTTGTTACAAGTTCAAATCTTAGTTTAAAAATTTAAATTATATTTAAAATAATATTATAAGTTATTTTGTTTCTTTTCAGAAATACATATTAGTGCAATGGAGGTCTTAGATGCATTCACCTATTGAATTAGCAAATCTTTCAGAGTTATTTTGTTTTGTTTTAGTTTAGTTTCTTGAAACAAATATATTAGGCATCTGTTCTAATATTAACTTTTGAGGTTGTTATTTGTTGCCTCCATTAAATTATTTTCTTAGTAGATACTAACTCATTCTAACCCAAATGACAACTAAGTTTTAATTTGCTGTTTAAAAGGTATCTGAAGAGAGAATAGATAAGTAGTAACAATTTCTTTTTTTCCCCCCCTTAGGTATTGCAGATTCGGTTTCTGTTGTATTTGTGTGACATATTGGAGACATCACGAGAAAGCTACAAAAATGAAGATTTTCATAATACAATGTAACATTCTAAGCATTACTCAGCTTCAAATTTAGCAAGTACCTACAAAATGCTATCGGTCCTAGTAGTATTGAAGTTACAGAATGTCTGTTCTTTGAGATACACAGACAACTAAAGTCTGAAGGAGTTCCAGTGCCTCAGCCTTTAGGGGAATTTATGAAGCAAGCTGGGGAAGAAGATCAGATTAGGAAAAATTTTAGATCCCACCACATCTGAACAAACTACTGTTTGTTTTGGTTTGCTTGCTGTCTTTCTTTTTTTTTTTTATCATTGTTGTCTGATTATGTTTAATGAGGTACTTTGATTAGGTGAAATCAAAGAGACTCTAAGAATTTGTTTTCCTTTGTGGGATATAATCACTAGCCTTAGATTACCCCCATCTACATGAAAGGCTGACCTAAAGTGAAGTGTGCCTATCACAATTATACTAGCAATTTTTTGAGATGGAATATCATAAAGACTCAAAATGCCAGGTGCTTTTCCTCATCAAATGGTGCTTATCCCTTGAACAGTAGAAGGACCATGTGCAAGGAAACAGAAGACCAATCCCTTCCTAAAAGAAATAAACTGAAATTCAATGACCATTATGGAAACTGGGAGGTCAGAAGCCTCAAGTACCACTCCCTGCCATGCTGGAATTTTCTTTGCCGGGGAAATTCTTATTGTTGAAAAGAATCCAATAGATTTAACTTCTTACTTTTTTCTACCTATATTAGAGAACAAAGTATTTTCCTACCTATTCACTCTCTCTTAGTCTTTACTGCACAATTCCCACATTTTTCTCATGGTTTAATGCACTTGACTAAAGAAATTGTCCTCATTGTTTACCTTCCTTTTCTATTTTCTAATCACTTGGCTCCCTTAGGGTCTGGGTCTTTTATCCACATAGGCTCCACCTCTTTCTTTCTCCCATGATTCTGGGCACCTCTCCTCTCAAGAGTCCCACCTCCTAACCCAGCCTCAGTCAGTCAGAATGTGAGCTTCCCTGGCCCTCTGACTTCTAGTTTTTCATTTAGTTCTCCTGGTCTCCCATCCCAACTGCCTCTTTGTGTTTCCCTTTGGCGTTCACTTGGCTCCTGGATCTTAATGCCCGTGATCATTCTGGTGTCATTAATTACATAAGTGATTTCAGGTGCTATGCTGCTAATGGGGTCATGATTAACTTGTATCCTCAGCAGTGATTGATAAATCTGTGTGCACAGAAGGAACACTGTGTGCAGCTCCTACTCTGCAACCAGGAAACCAGCTACTCCTTGTATAGCAGTGTTAAGAACCTCATAATAAAAGAGCTGATCTTCTGATTGAATTTTAAGTAGAAATGTTTTTTAAACATCAATGTAATAAACCGTATCAAATATACACTTGTTACCCATTTCTTCTCTAAAATCCATTATTGCTTTTTATTGCAGAAGATGTTGACAAAAATGAAACTTTGAAGGCAGCAGTTACCACTAAAAAAATTCTAGGACATCTCATTTTTCCTCATTTTTTTGTCCTTTATCTTTCTCCTTTATTAGGAAAAAAAATTCTTGTTTTACTTATACACACCAGAAGCAAACACAAAAGAACATTGTGGACTTGTTTAGAAATATTACAGGAGGGAAAATATTTACATTTCAATTGACAAGTTTTCTAATGATCTAGGAAGGAATTGTTTTTGCTGTTCTAGTTTGTGTTAGGTTACTATATAATATAAATGCTTTGCTAATATTCTTTTTCAAATACTAAGGGATTTTTATGATTTCAAAATGACTAATACTTCTCAGCTGTTCTGGAATTTGATAACATTTATTAAAAAACAAGCTATATTTTTGATCTTAGGTTAAAAAGATATTTTCTTCAGTGTATGGCTAACATTTTGTTAAGGTAGTATTAATGTGCTTTACATTCACACACAATTTTCCGAACTCCAAAGACATATATCCAATTTTTGGTTTTCTCCATAAACAACTTTAACCTCAGTGCCTCCAAAACTCCATCCTCCCTGCCAGTAAATAAATTAATAAATAAACAACCAAAAAACTCCTTTTCCTGGAGTTTTGGTCAAGGGTATCGCTACTATGTAATCACCAAATCAATAAATTTAAAAGAAATCCTACATATTCAATCAAGTAAACTACACTTTGGAAACTCATCATTTCCTCCTCTGCCACCTCTCCATTTCTGTTGTCCTTTGTGAAAGAAATGGTCTTTTAACAATCTCTTAACACCATTTTTCAGTAGTCTACTGTCAACCTAAAATAACAAGCAGAAAGAGATTCTTCAAAGATAATGAATTTGTTCAAGAATGGAAATTGTAATGGCCAGATGTGTGAGCATGTCTTCAGGGGCAAAGGAAAACAAAGAGTTTTTAGAGGTAAAAGGAAGAAGATTAAATTTCTTTGAAACAATTATCCTTGGCTACCAGAGTCAGTAACAAAGGAGGCGTCAGTCCAAGGTTAACAGGCAGTTACTGTGCAAATGTCCTCACAGAAATACTTTTGTACAGAGTTATGGTAACATTTCATGCGAGATGGTGGTCCTGGAAGAGCGTTTTGATAGTTCTTGTTATTAGGCATAGATCCATAACACACTTTATTACCTCATTATCTTGTACAAGGTAAAAGATATGCAAATAGCTGTCATACTATATTGTTTGGGAATGATGACAACAGAAGAACTATACATGTTCAATACAGATGAAAAATATTTTTATATTTTCCACCTGCAATTGCTTGTATCTGCAGATGCAGAACTCATGGGTATGGTCAAATTAATAAATAATTTAAAGACAAACTTAGAGGATATGATCCTTTTAAGAAAAAAATCTTGTAATTGAGATCAAAGAATAGTTCTATTCCATCAAGAATTATTGCTTGCTCTTGCTAGAGATAATCCATGTACATTAAAATTGATATACATTTCATTTTTTTATTTTTTTGCTACCAGGAATTGAACTCAGAGGCACTCAATCACTGAGCCACAACCCCAGCTCTATTTTGTATTTTATTTACCCTATGGTTTCCAGGAATATCAAATGATAGGAACTGAGTTCCTTAGCACCTCACTGTTGCTAAGGCTAGCTTTGAACTTGCAATTCTCCTGTCTCAGCCTCCCAAGCTGCTAGGAATACAGGATGCCACTGTGCCTGGCTGATGTACCTTTTAGATTCCTTTGATAAAATTATGTACTACTTCCCATAACATAAATTTAACCGAATACTTTCAATATTTGAACAAAATTTAAAAAGGAAAATGAAAACATATATGATATGTAATCACCAAATCAATAAGTTTAAAATAATGATTCATTTAATATTTTGAATTAGATTTGAATGAGGTCACTATTTAGTCTGTTTACAACTCTTTTCTTCTGGAAAGAACATTCTTCTTTGGGAGAACATTTTGCTGTTTATTAGAGTTGACTGTATCTCCCACACCATGGGCCCTGGAGCTGGAGAAAGGTACACTATTGCTCTGTTGTGGTCCAAAAGGTTGAGAGTTGGGACACAGCCTGAGGAAGGAAGTGGTCTCCAACAGGAAAGAATAGAGCTAACGTCCACAGAGAAGAGACAAAGAGTCCCCAAGGTCTCTAGGAATAACCCATGACAGAAAATGCATCCAGTTCCAGACTCTTTTGAATTCTGTGAGTAAATGGACTAAATATCCAATGGATCCCCTCTAGACAAGTGTCAGGTAAATGTCTGTTATTGGTCATCTGTTAAGGAAAACAATGTTTCAAAAATAATATACAATGAAAGACTAAATTTATTATTTTTGAAGTTTTGTTTGAATTAATTTTGTACAGAATGACACTTATTACATAAAATATCAGAAAAAGCTGGTTTACAAGTTATGAAGTATGAGGTAAACAAAATGATGATATTCAGTGATTACATTAAAGAAAGTATCAGGAGAAACTGAATTTTTAATAGGAAAACACCTGTGTACAATATTACAATTTAACTCAATTATGTCTTATTTTATTGGTTAGATCATATCATTACAAACATGAAGTAATAAAGTCTTTTCCAGAGTTTAATCAAAACACCATGCTGCAAAACTATGTACACAAAAATATTACATTAAAAAGACTCCTCGTGCTCATGAAAATTTAGAAAATAAAATATAGACTGATAAAATTATTCAATGATATTTCAGATGACTTTAATCTGATTCATCACTGCTGAAGTAAGAGCTGTCACAGTATTCAGCTGTGTAAAGGAATTTATGAATGATTGGGTTCATCTTTGGTATCCAGTGTCGGGGAACTAGATATGTTGAAAGATTAAATAAATCCACAAACACCTTGTACCTGTCACTGAAAAAACATATGTAGATGTGTTAGATTTGTTGTCATGAAATATTTAAAATTTGTACCCCCAAATTTCTTTCCTCAAATATTTTCCATTAAACAGTTAAGATTCACTACCACATATTGCATGTTGTATATGTCATATGTATCATTAGTTATTATGTAGTATTTAGTATTAAGATTACCTAGTTTAGAAATCATATCTAAAGATTATTTCCATAAAACAATATTATATATTCAGTAGATTAAGCCCAGAGTGATACAGATGAAAATCTGGAGTCATTACTTTCATGCCACCATTATAAGGACAAGGGTGTGTTCTTATTTCCTATTTTTTAAGGATGGTACACAAAGTGATATATTTAAAAGCATGCATTTTTGGTTGTTCGTGGAAGAGTATTTCCAAACTGCAAAAGGAGCCACTGTGTAACTAACATGAAGAGAGTAATAAACTAAAACACCTTCTTAGATTGATTATAAATGTCTATAGAAGTGGTTTTATGTTAAAATTGCTTTTGCATTCTTTAGTGAACTATTTTAATGGTTGCACTTGTATAGTCAAAGATATTTGCTTTGAAGTCAAATAAACATGGGTTTGAATTCTGGTTCTGTCATCCCAACCCATTGGGCCTTGGACTTGGTAAACATTAGTAGTGTTCCAGTTACTAACTGTAAAATAAAAAACACAATCCCTTGGTTTGGCCAGGTCTTTTTGAAGATTAAATGAGATGATAACACACTTAGAAATACTACTATTTGTGTTCATTATTCCCAGCACCTACTGATGTATGTGCTAATTTTCTATAGACAACTAGTATTTCATGCGTACAGAAGTTATTCCCATGGAAAATGAAAATATATAAAATGTATAATCACAATTTCAACCTGTGCATTTTATAAATCAACCAATCAGTAATATCAGGGGTAAAAGGAATGTACTATAAAAAATGCAGGGACAAAAATGTGAATGTCTAACTTATTGAGCTGATCCTTCTTTTCCACAGAGCTATGTTTCCTCATTTTTAGGTGTGTCTGCCTGTGTATACATCTATCTATAATAATGAGCATATTAAATAAAATAAGAAGGCGATTGTCTTAAAACCTGCTCAATGTGTTTTAAGACCTCAATAAATATTGACCTCTTTCTCTGTAAAGACTGTGGAAAAAGAACCCTCTGGAGTAGCTGAAAGTAGCTTCCCAATATAAAACAGAGTCATATCAGGAAACAAGGAACTAGTCTAGCTGTGTTATTTATCTGACCAAGAAAATATTGGAGGAGTTAGTGATGAAAGTTTTAGTGTAGTTAAAGCTTGAGCTAGAATGAAATGAAGACTTTTCTTCCTGGACAAAAAGACTATTAATTCTTTTATGTTCTCACTAATCATGCAGCCATGGGTAGCAACGCTCCTTTTCATCACTGGACCAAATGAGTGAAGCTTCATAATTGAGGATTTTATACAATTACGTTCAAAGGATCAGGAGGAATATAATCATCTAACTACAAATGTGTTTTCAGCAGTTTAGACCGGAACAAACACAAATGACTTTTCCTAGATAATGGGCATAAGATATGGAGAAACAGAGGCCTGGTGACTTCCACCAGATGAGAAGAATCCCCTAGGCCCACTCACCTCACGGTGGAGCGCAGGTACTGATAGCCTGAGGAACCTCCAGTGCCAGCTTTGCTGCCCAGCATTCTGTGCACCACGCACACATGGTTATCTAGGCAAACACACAAATTTACGCCATGAATGTTTTTCTGCCATTAGTTCACCATGTTCTCAAAACAAGTGTTGGTAATGATTATTTCTGAGGAATGGCTGACACTTGCAATCACTTAGCCATATGGGAGGTTCACCTGTGGGAACCAGCGAAACAGTAAGGTTGCCTAGCACCCCACATAGTTTAGGCTACATGCATTTCACTCCATCCATCATTGTGGTTAGCCCGTGAAAAGAATACAAAGGGCAAGATCACATAATGACTTTCATGAGTCTATGCCAATTTTGCCTTATGGGTCTCTATTTTCACTCAAAAAAATAAAGATAATTAAAATTATATTTTAAAATTGCATTGACATAAAGATAAGCATATTACTATTAAATATTAAAATATTTTATTTGACCTAAACTTCAATTTTTTTTTCTGATTGTAAAATTGAAACATTTTCTTGAACCCTCAAAAATATTGAGTAACCAATCAGAATGAATTGGAGAATAGAAGGAGGACTTACATCTCCATTTGGTCATGAGACTATCTATGTCCATAAGGAATGTCAGCAGCTGAAAAGGAACCTGGAATCTAGGCTCTTCCCTAAAGGAGAAAATAACAAGAAGATATCTATCCAAGAAAATTCATGGCTTAAGAATGTCTGAGTTTTATAATTAATAAGTTGGCTCTGGCAGCAATGTTATATTTGTCTAACAGGATCCATAGCATTTTTGGATTATTCTCTTGGCTTCTGTTTCTTCATCTCAAAAATGGAAATAACACTACTCACTTTGCAGTATTTCTTTGAAATCTAGAAAGTTCTGGAAGTATACACAAAACAACCAGGAAGAATATAGATTCTAATTAAAAGAAACATATTTATACTATGTCATATTTCCCAGCTAGTACAGGTCAAAAGCTTCTAGGAAATACGTATACACAAAACACACACACACACACACACACACACACACACACACACACACACACACACATGCTTTTTATTTCCTATATTTGTTTTTCCATTTTCACCTAATCCTTCAACTTTCTCAGAGCATTTTTTCCTTAAGACATCTAAGTTTCAATGGTATATATGTATTTCCAGTTTAGGAAAAGAGCTTAAAGGTTTTGTTTATGCTGACACTCTGAAGAAACAGATTTGAGAGGATATTAAAAAATTAAAAGAGCCAGGCATGGTGGAGCATGCCAGTCATGCCAGGTACCCAGGAGGCTGAAGCAGGAGAATGCCAAGGTCAAGTCCACCCTGGGCAACTTAGTGAGATCTTCTCAAAATAGAAAATAAAATAGGCTGAGAAAATAGCTGAGTGGTAGAGTATTTGCCTAGCATGAGTGAGGTCTTTTATTTTATCCCTAGTTCTAAAAGAAAAATTTAAAATATAAGGTGGCAAAACATCCTGAAAATACAAGCATTGGAATCCTTTTTGCTAGCATGTTACCATGTTTTTGACATGGATGATTCGGATGGAAACTTCACACGCATGAAGGAATATGTGGACATTGAAGGAACACTTAAAACATTTTAGACAGTTAAAAAAATTATCTGAAATTGTTGAATAAGTAGAACAATGAATGGTTAACAAAATGTTTTCATTAATTCTTTTTCATTTTATAAAACAGAAATAACCAAACAACACTATTTAATGATAGAATATATTTTGTAACTGAGTTTCTCAGAAAAATTGAACTTTAGCCTGTTAAGACAATTAATAACATAAAATACTTTGAGAGAGAAAGAAAGAGACCTGCTGCAGAGATAAAGTTATAATTTTATTCCTTGCCATTTAAATGTAAAAATTTAAAAATAGAATTTCATTATTTTCTGTTTTCTTCAAAAATTAAATTACATATTAAATTATAATTATAATATATAAGCTATTCATTTGTCTTTACCTGTAAAAATATATCATCAATGCTCCCTGGAGAGCTTTGTATGACAGTCGTCTTTCACCTGCAAGATACACAATTGTAATTTAAATGGTAGTTTAGGGCAGTCATATTAATATGGTATTATTACCTTAGATAATGAAATTAGCTTTTTAAAATGGTTGATATGCTATTAGAAAACATTGTAAGTTTTAGCTTAAATATCTCATCCCTTGCTTGAATTTGAAAACGTTATCATTCAAAAACTTGTTTGAATATTGAATTCTAAAAGACAAACTAAAAATTGTACATATACAATACACACACATTTATACATTTTATTAGTTCATTATAGTTATACATTATAGTCAGGTTCATTTGGACACACTGATAAATGCATATAACACAATTTGTTCCATTTCATTTCCCATTGTTTCCCCTTCCCTCCCACTCTCTACCACTGAACCCCTTTGTCTACTCTACTGGCCTTCCCTCTATTTATTTATTGGTTTTTTTGTGAAATAGGTGTATTGCAGTTATACTTAAAAGTGGAATTTGGGCTGGAGTTGTGGCTCAGTGATTGAACACTTGCCTAGTATGTGTGAGGCACTGGGTAGGATCTTCAACACCACATTAAAAAAATAAACAAATAAAATAAAGGTATTATGTCCATCTATAACTAAATTTTTTTAAAAAGTGGAATTCATTGTATATATTTATACATGCACATAGCATAATTTGGCCCATTTCATAATCTTTAAATGTCCTGTTAGGAAAACCTGGTATGAAAGAAATTACTTAACTTCGATGAAAAATGTATTTTCCATGTGAAATAGTATAGTTATTGCCTTTCAAAAAATTAAACAAGAACTTTCCTGTCTTCATTTTAAACTGTTTTTCTCCATTTCACTTAAAAGCAGTTTCCTTAGCTTTAAGGAGTATAACGATCACATCAAAGCGTCTGTGTGCTCTTACACAAGGCTTCACTCCTAATTACATTGTAGAAACAAAATTTTCCACACTTTACCAAGGGTTGTGAGAACACTGAGGATAACAACTTTATACCTTATAGAAACTATTTTCACATACTTCTATGCCTTGTACTAATAAAAATTCAATGTTGTATCTATTCTGCCTGTTTCTTTTTTATTTTTAGTCATATAAGACAGTAGAATCTATCTTGACATATTCATACAAACATGAAGTACATTCATTCTAATTAGGATCCCAGTCTTATGATTGGACATGATGTAGAGATTCATTGTGGGGTGTGTGTGTGTGTGTGTGTGTGTGTGT